CTAATTCAGTACCCTGTGCCAATTTTCGTGCAAATCGAAAGATATATAGGGACTTTCGTGCACAATTTAACTTAAATCGGACGAAAATATATATGGGAGCTATATCTAAATCTGAACCGATTTTCTCCAATTTTCTCCGATTTTCTCCAAAGTAGGGTTCGTCCTTGGGCCAAATAAGTGAACTGTGCCAAATTTCATCCAAATCGGATCATAAATGTGACCTGTACTTTGTTAAAAAAAATAAATGGACGGACAGACGAACAAGCGTAAATCGACTATGTTACAAACATATGCACAAAGGCATAATACCCTGTACCGCAGTGTGGTGAAGGGTATAACAAATAATTGTAATAATAAACAATTGAAAAAACGTTAAGATCTGGCTTGGAAATATTGCATGACATATAAGGTCATTACAAGTTGAGGTCAACAGATCATCTTTCTTACAATGTCAACTATTCCGAATCATGGTTGCCGGATTTAACGTTTACGCCGTACGATTCAAATCTTTTTACACAACGTTTTGTTTTATTTGACCCGTTCATTATCATGACAGACATTCGAATTAGTTGGTAAGATCACCTCCCCCATGGAAAAATTGTGATGTTTGGCCTAAAATTGTAACGCCTAAGAGCGACTAGAAAATAGTGTTTTCAGCACATTTAATCCCCTGAATATCAAATAATCTTTACCAAAAATTTTAGTCATCGCCCTTGACCATGACCGGGGCCTCTTGCAACATACATTTTCGCCCTCTAGTGTAATAATGGTAATAATATACATTATTAGAGTAGGTATTTATGAAAAAACTCTTACATACAACTCTTACATACAAAAATACAACAATATTAGGTTGGGGAAAAAGAAATTCAATATTTTTATGTGAACTATAGGACTTTATTTAACATGCTTCGGAATGTCCGATTTGGAAAAAAAATCTTGTATTCGATTTACCCAATCCTCCCCAGATACCATTTTTTATCATCATAGAAATTTTGAAATGCAAGAAAAATATGTTAATCGCTTGTGCCAAGTCCGGACAGTATTGTGGATGCATTAAAACTTCCCACCCAAGCTCCCGAAGTTTCTGGCGAGTCACCATAGATGTATGTGGTCTACCGTTGTCCTGGTGGAACACAACACCTCTCCTCTTGGTCAATTCTGGCAATATCTGGTGCTATATTCAAACGGTCCAGTAGGGATCAGAATTCAGCGCTTGGACATATGAAAAGCAACTTATAATATAGAATCAGTCCCACCAAATGCATAGCAGAACATACTTGGCCGTTAGTCCTGGTTTGGCCACGGTTTGAGGTGCTTCACCGCTCTTTGACCACGATCGTTTTCGCACAGTGTTATCGTATGTGATCCATTTCTCATCCCCAGTCACCATCCGTTATAGAAATGAGCCTATCTCATTCGTTTTGGCCAAGGCTTCGCAGATGGAAATTCGATACCTCCTATTTGTATAACCTTCACCACACTGCGGTACAGGGTATTATGTCTTTGTGCATATGTTTGTAACAGGCAAAAGGAAACGAGATAGACATATGGTTCCTTTTGAGAATATGCATAGAATGCATGTCCGTCCGTCCGTCTATCTGTCCATGTTAAATTGTAAACAAAGTACAGCTCGCATTTATTATCCGAATTGGATGAAATTTGGCACAGCTAGTCTATTTGGCCCAAGGACGAACACTACTGAAATTGGAAAAAATCGGTTCATAGCGAGCTGAATTGAGTCTAGAACGATGTGTGTAAAATTTCTTGAAAATCGGTTCAGATTTAGATATAGCTCCCATATATATTTTTGTCCGATTTAATATAAATGGTGTACAAAAGTCCCTATATATCTTCCGATTTGCATGAAATTTGTCATACCGTTCTGAATTGAGCTAGAATGATGTGTGTAAAATTTCTTGAAAATCGGTTCAGATTTAGCTCCCATATATATGTTCGACCGATTTAATATAAATGGTTCACCAAAGTCCCAATATATCTTTCGATTTCCACGAAATTTGGCATAGCGTACTGACTTGAGTCCAGAAAGTTTCGTGAAAATCGGTTCAGATTTAGATATAGCTCCCATATATTTTTGCCCAATTTAATTTTAATTTTGCATGAAATTTGATATGGCGTACTGAATTGAGTCTAGAATGATGTTTGTAAAGTTTCTGAAAATTGTCCTATTTTAAGACCCAAAGTTAGGCAGATTACCACACAATTTTGCATAACGTACTAAGGTTTGTGTGACATAACATGTGTCAAGTTTTGCTGAAACCAGTTCAGATGTTTTTTTTTGCACAACGTATCTAAAATAGTTTAGGGAAGGGTGTGTCAAGTTTTAATGAAATCCGTCCAAATTTAGTTGTATCTCCCATATAGTTTCGTCCGATTTTAAGTAGGACCCAAAATATTTCCATTAGGAACAAAACGTGCATACATTAGTCTAAATTAGTTTATGATCTAAGTCGATTCACATTTAGATATCGGTCACATATTTTAGTTCATCCAATTTCATGATAATGGCCCTTCTGTTAGGCTGCATCTATTAAATACACCCATAGTGGTGAAGGGTATCATATAGACGGCTCCGTACGACATTACTACTTTCCTTACTGGTTTCCGTTAATTGATGTGGCACCCAAACATCGGGTTTCTTTTAGAGTTTTATGATCGATTTTTAGCTCCTGGGCGATGTTACGACAGCTAACATGCCGGTCAACTTCGATCATTTCTCCGATTTTATCGACATTTTCGACGACCGGCCTAATAGATTTCTTTTTCCCCAACATAATATAGGTCTCTTTCGGACCAAATCGAATATACGTGCAAAATTTTGTGAAAATGTAAGTATTTTACGACCTTACAACATCTTGGGGCCACATAAAGCTTACAACATAATTTTGTAGGGTATAAAAAATAAACTTTATTTTTCTTATTCAAAATATATGCTTTTTTCCAGTAAAGAAATAAGTAATTAGTTGCAAAGTTTAACTTTTAAGGGATTCCTATGAACTTTATACAACTTCACACAATTGTGTAATTATTACGCCAAGTATTTTTGTACGTATATGTGTGCATATATTTTTGGATCTTCATATTTTCCCTTTCTTGGCAGTACTCAATCCCCAGAATACACAAACAAGGGAGTGTTATATTCTTTCCGTACATTTGGCTTTTCTGTTGATGTTTTTTTCTGACGATAATTCCCCCTCATCCTTCGTCTTAAAATACACTTGGGAATATCGTATTCTTCTTTGCATTTGGAAAATATTTTAAATAATTCTTTTGATGATATTTCGTGTTGTGTTCTTCTTATCAGATACTCTGCATGCGTCATAGCAACGACATGGCTCCATAAATGGAAAGAAAAGTAGAAAGGAAGAAATGTAATTTGTTATGCTTCAACAGCTTTCCTAATATTTATTTTTGCATATTTGCCAATATAAATTTGTAATCGAAAATACATTACCAAAAAAAAAAAAATAAAAAAACAGTAAGGAAAGTAGTAAAGTCGGACGGGGCCGACTATATGATACCCTTCACCACTTTGGGTATGTTGAACAGATGAATCCTAACAGACGTCAAATTTTTGAAGGACCATTAACATGAAAATGGATCCATAAACATGTAGTTCTGCAACCTATACTATATTTTTCATTTGATCAGATACGGGGTTGCTTCTACTTCAGTACGCTGTGCCAAATTTTTTGTCAATCGGCCTACCTTGGGGTCTTTGGTGAACCATTTACATTAAATCGGTCGAAAATATATATGGGAGCTATATCTAAATCTGGACCGATTTTCAGGAAACTTAACACACATCATTCTTGACCTTATTCATTACGCTATGCCGAATTTCGTGCAAATCGACAGATATATAGGGACTTTGGTACTCCATTTACATAAAATCGTACGAAAATATATGTGGGAGCTATATTTAAATCTGAACAGATTTTCAGGAAACTTAACACACATCATTCTAGACCTAATTCATTACGCTATGCCAAATTTCGTGCAAATCGAAAGATATATAGGGTCTTTGGTACACCATTTACATAAAATCGGACGAAAATATATATGGGAGCTATATCTAAATCTGGTCCGATTTTCTGGAAACTTAACACACATCATTCTAGACGAAATCCAGTACACAAACAAATTTCGTGCAAATCGAAAGATATATAGGGACTTTGGTACACCATTTACATAAAATCGGACGAAACTATATATGGGAGCTATATCTAAATCTGACCCGATTTTTTCCTATTTCAATAGGGTTCGTCCTTGGGCCAATTAAGTGACCTGTGCCAAATTTCATTCAAATCGGATCATAAATGCGACCTGTACTTTGTTAACAAAAATACATGGACGGACATGCATAAATCGACTCAGAAAGTGATTCTATGCATATTCTCAAAAGGAACCATGTGTCTATCTCGATTATTTTTGCCTGTTACAAACATATGCACAAAGACATAATACCCTGTACCACAGTGTCGTGAAGGGTATAAAAAGGAAAACATGAAATGAAACTAAGTTGTATGATTTTTTTCAGTATCTTTTTCGGTTGTTATTGAAATTGAATAAAGTAGTTTTGACATAGGGACATATTTGTTATTCATTTGGGACGTATATCTTAGTTTAGAGGTTAAGTAAGTTGAAATATGTGCAATAGCTTTAATTTACTATATATAAAATAAAATTTTGTTTCTTTAAATATTCTACAATTTTGGTATATATTTAAATAATATAAAAAAAATATTTTCTTCTTTCAGATTTCATCCAATACCAATGAAGATATATTTATTGTTAAAATTACAATCGTATGACAACTGCACCACCACCACCACCAATGAATCAACAACAAATAATATTTTAAAAATAATTATCAATAATCTTGGAACAATTGAGTTCCAATAAACAAGCAAATCATGCATAAAACACAAGGACTAGTGCGGAAAATAGGCGAGACTTGTCTCCTGTTGGTAATTGTAATGAGCGGTAAGTAGTAAAGCTGGGACTTTAAATACACACAATTGCTTCAATTCGGTTCAGATTTAGATATAGCTCCCATATATGAAATGCCATGTAAATGGCGTCAGGTAGCAACGAGATTGTATTTGTATTTTTACAGCTGCCACATAAATGAACATATTCCGTTACGATACTTTTACGTAACTACCACATTTTTAGACCAATATATGACAATGTATCCCCTTCGATTTAAAATTCAATTAATCATCATAACTAAAAGTGGCATCAATAGAGGCATTACAACAATGTAAGATCCCTATCGTTGTCGGTTGTGTAAACTTCTCGAGAACATACCAAAAAGTACACACACACACACACAAACACAAACTTTACCACCACATATGTAATGCTCGATTAGCTGCATGACAAGAAAATGAAAGAACAGTCAGTGTATGGAAATGTATAGTGACAGGCAAGCTTAAGTAGAAAATTAAATTTTCGTGGTTACCATTTTCATTGTATTAGAAGGAATACACACTTACACATACATATATAAATCTGTTGTTCGTAAAAAAAATATATGAACTCAACTTGTGTTAAAATAATGATTAATATTTTTCTCTTGTAGATCTAACGCTAAGTGAAGTCACGGAACCATTCAACGCTTTTAAAATTTACGAAGAATCGCTGGCAAAATCTACAACACCATCGTATACACCACCTCCCTGGATTGATCCATATTTTGATCCGTCGACACCGCGTAATGTAACCGCCCTAATGGGCAAATCAGCTTATTTGAGTTGCCGAGTGCGTAATTTAGGAAATAAAACGGTAAGTCAATAACCGATAACAATAATAACATATATTTAGAGGTTGAGAATTTGCAATTTATCGAATTAAAAGTTTTGTAATTAGATAAGTATGGATATTTTATACGTCTACTTATAAATTATATAATCATAATTTATTAAATTGATATAACAATATTTTATACCCTACTCCATGTGGGAGTTTACATTAAATTTACCATATCGTTTTCAACACCTCGAAACATTCTTCGGAGACCCCATAATGTATATAGAAAGTATATATTTATACCCTTCACCACACTGTGGTACAGGGTATTATGTCTTTGTGCATATGTTTGTAACAGGCAAAAATAATCGAAATAGACACATGGTTCCTTTTGAGAATATGCATAGAATCACTTTCTGGATCGATTTATGCATGTCCGTCCGTCCGTCTGTCTATCTGTCCATGTTAAATTGTAAACTGTAAACTGTAAACAAATTGTAAATTGTAAACAAATTGAATGAAACTTGGCACAGCTCATTTGTTTGACCCAAGGACAAATAATATTGAAATTGGGAAAAATCGGTTCAGATTTATATATAGCTCCCATATATATTGTCGCCCGATTTCATGTAATTGGTGCACCAAAGTCCCTATATATCTTTCGATTTGCACGAAATATGGCATAACATAGTGAATTGAGCCTAGAATGATGACTTCCAAGTTTAGAGAAAATCGGTCCAGATTTAGATATATCTCCCATATATAGTTTCGCCCGATTTCTTGTAAATGGTGCACCAAAGTCCCTATATATCTTTCGATTTGCACGAAATTTGGCATAACATACTGAATTGAGCCTAGAATCATGTCTGCCAAGTTTCGTGGAAATCGGTTCATATTTTGATATAGCTTCCATATATAGTTTCACCCGATTTTAGGTAAATAGTCCACTAAAGTCCTTGGAAATCTTTTGATTTGAACGAATTTTGGCACAGCGTAATGAATAAGGTATATAATGATGTGTGTTAAGTTTCGTGGAAATCGGTTCAGATTTAGATATAGCTCCCATATATATCTTCCTCCGATTTAAGGTAAATGGTGTAACAAAGTCCCTATACATCTTTCGATTTACGCTAAATTTGGCGTAGCGTACGAATTTTGGTATAGGGTACTGAATAAAGTCTAGAATGATGTTGCAAAGATTCGTAAAAGGTCCATAGCTAGGCCGATTGACACAACGTACTGAAGTAATATAAATTAGTCTCTGGCAAGTTTCCCTGAAATCGGTTCAGATATAGATATATAACAAAAACGCGACATCTGTTAGGATACATATGTAGAATATACCCAAAGCGGTGAAGGATTACATATAGTCGGTCCAGTCCGACTTTACTTTGCACACATCATTCTAGACTTATTTCAGTACGCTACACCAAATTTAGTGCAAATCGAAAGATATATAGGGACTTTGGTACAACATTTACTTTAAATCGGATGAAGATATGTATGGGAGCTATATCTAAAACTGAACCGATTTTCACGAAACTTAACACACATCATTATAGACCTTATTCATTACGCTGTGCCAAATTTCCTGCAAATCGAAAGATATATAGGGACTGTGGTACACCATTTACCTTAAACCGGACGAATATGTATATATATATATATGGGAGCTATATGTAAATCTGAACCGATTTTCATGAAACTTAACACACATCATTATAGATCTTATTCATTACGCTGTGCCAAAAGTCGTGAAAAATCAAAAGATTTCCGGGATTTTAGTGGACTATTTACATAAAATCGGGCGAAACTATATATGGGAGCTACATCTAAATCTGAACCGATTTTCACGGTACTTAACACACATCATTCTAGCCCTTATTTATTATGCTGTTCCGAATTTCGTGCAAATCGAAATATATATAGGGACTTTTTTACACCATGTAGTTAAAATCGGGCGAAACTATATATGGGAGCTATATCTAAATCTGAACCGATTTTCATGAAACTTTGCGCACATCATTCTAGACTTAATTCAGTACTCTATGCCAAATTTAATGCAAATCGAAAGATATATCGGCACTTTGGTACCCCATTTACCTTAAATCGGACGAAAATATATATGGGAGCTATATCTAAATCTGAACCGATTTTTCCCAATTTCAATAGGGTTCGTCCTTTGGCCAAACAAATGAGTTGTGCCGAATTTCATCCAATTCGGATCATAAATGCGACCTGTACTTTGTTTACGATTTAACATAGACATACGGACAGACAGACGGACATGCATAAATCGACTCAGAAAGTGATTCTATGCATATTCTCAAAAGGAACCATGGGTCTATCTCTATTATCTTTGCGTATTACAAACATATGCACAAAGACATAATACCCTGTACCACAGTGTGGTGAAGGGTATAAAAATCCTATATGATGGATTTTTAAATTTAATAAAAACTATATTATAGTTAATGTGCTTCACAGCTTCCTTTCAAATCGTTGACATCCCCAACATGTATACTATTTTGTTGAGAACTTTTGCAAAATATAACCTGGAGAAACTTCAGTGGCAGGAACTTTTCCCTTTGTATGAAAACTTCTGTGATATGTGGCTGTTCGTGGCATTTAAGTACCTGTGTAAGCAGGAATTATTATAGAGAAACTTACAATGTTCTTGAACTAAATAAAAGAAGCAAGAAAGTTAATTACAATATTCTTGCCATAAGATTTCACATGTAAAATACGATTTCATTCTACTACCAAAGTGGAAAGCCAAGAGCTGTTTTATGTTGGGTTCTGATGTGTATGAATGTTTCTGAATGAACTACATTTAAAGTGTATATAACCACAATTGCATGAATGTATAAAACAACATTTCATCGTCATTGTTTTATATCCTGTGAATTAATTAAATCTATCAATTTGTATACACCAATGTTATATGCGGTCAGTTCACTTTAAAATGTCACTTTTCTTTCATTTTTAAATCCTGAAATTTCTCCGAAAATATTAAATAAACATTTTTCTGTCAAAGTATTTTTATTAAGCATTCAAGCCAATTAAACTTTTATTCATTCTCGTTCTTGTTTTTTTATAGGTTTCGTGGATCCGGCATAGAGATATGCATATTTTGACAGTTGGCACATATACATATACAACAGATTTACGTTTCCAAGCAATTCATCACAATGGTTCCGATGATTGGATGTTACAGATCAAATGGACACAAAAACGGGATGCTGGAATGTTTGAATGTCAAATATCCACCCAACCGGTACGAAGTTATTTTGTGGACCTGCATGTTGTTGGTAAGTGTGTGTGTTTCAATAAAAAATATTTTTCTATGTATTTTTTATTACATACCGACAAGAGAAAGTGGCCAATTTAAAGTATTTTTATATATTGGTAGTTGTTGAATACAAAAATATTTGCAATCAATTTTTTGTGAAAAATTACTATAGGCTAAAAATTTTTCTTTATCAGAAGATATTTTAGTTTAGTTTTAGTAAAATATTTTATTTTGCTGCATGTTAATAATGTCGATTTCTATTCCCAAAATTGCTTTCGCAACAGTGCCCACAGCCACAATCCACGGTGGTCCCGATTTTCATGTCGACAAAGGCAGTACCATCAATTTGACTTGTACTGTTAAATTCAGTTTAGAACCACCCGCCTATATTTTTTGGTATCATCACGAAGAGGTATGTAGATATTCCATATATTTTTTTATATGCTACAATTTGATTTTGATTAATTATACCCTACACAACTATGTTGTCAGGGTATTATAGCTTTGTGCAGCCCCAAATGTTTGTAACGCCGCGAAATATTGGTCCTAGACCCACCTTTAAGTATACCGATCGTCATATCTCGACTAGCTGAGTCGATCTAGACATGTGTGTCCGTCCGTCCGTCCGTCCGTCCGTCCGTCTGTCCATTATAATTTGTAAACACGATACCGGCCACAGTTATGGACCAATCTTCACTTAATTTTGCATGTAGGATGTGTTCTGGCCAATGAAGACCCCTATTGTTTTTGGAAAAGATCAGTTAATATTTAGGGGATGAAATGGACCAAATACTAAATTTTTTTCGGTTTTTCTGGTCGCTCCAGAGGCCGCAATTATGGCCCAAACACCGCGAATTTTTGCATGGAGAAGGGGATCGGGCCAGAGAATAAGCATGCATGTTTTGATAAAGATCGGTCAATATTTAGCGGGTCAAATGGACCCTGACTTTTGTGTGAAAAATGACAAAATTTGTATTCTATGGCATATATATTTACTCCTGGAGGATGTAGACCCCAGGAGTAGATAGCATATCCAAGAGGAGTGGTTGGCCTTTAAATTGATACCAAACATAGTGATGTATCTACTCAGATGTGGGAGTTACAGTCAAATATTTACAGGCGCTTACGTATTCAGATATTATTTAGTAACCCATTACCACATTAGAGGGAGAAATATCGCGCTGATGGCTTTGAAATTTTTCATGAAGTTCCAGTTATGGTCAAGAACAACGCCTACAATTTTCGGTGATGATCAGATTAAAATTTTGGGATGAAATGGACCGAAAACATAATTTTTTGTGTGTTTTCGAGTAGAGTATAATCCGAAAATCACAACACAACCCACCGTGAAGGTAATCTGGACAAGTAATTAGAAGGACGGTACTGAATATTCGAAAAAAGTAAGGAAGAGGTGTTGTTAACCTCTAATCGGACAAGAGGGGGCAAATATCACGAAATATTACTCAGACTCGGAATAAACATCCTCAGAAAGTTAGAGTTCGTGGTAGTTGTGTAGGGTATCGCATGGTCGGCCCCGTCCGACTATACTGCTCCGCTCACTGGTTTAAAATTTTAATGAAATTGACAAATTGCTTAAAAATTCGGTTTGTATTTTTGTTTTATTTTTCACAGGTTATAAATTACGATTCAACACGCGGTGGCGTTTCGGTTATAACCGAAAAAGGAGATGTCACCACATCATATTTGTTAATACAAAATGCCGATTTGGCGGATTCGGGCAAATATTCATGTGCGCCATCGAATGCTGATGTGGCCAGTGTTAGGGTACATGTTTTGAGTGGTAAGTATTCAGTGAATAAATATTTGTTTTGCTAGTATTTGTTCATTTGGATGGAGGGTTATACCACACACAACTAATGTTCAAGGGTATTACCAATTTTTATACCCTTCATCACAGTGTGGTACAGGTATTATGTTTATGTGCATATGTTTGTAACAGGCAAAAATAATCGAGATAGACCCATGGTTTCTTTTGAGAATATGCATAGAACCACTTTCTGAGTCGATTTATGCATGTCCGTCCGTCCGTCCATGTATTTTTGTTAACAAAGTACAGGTCGCATTTATGCTCCGAATTGGATGAAAGTTGGCACAGGTCTCTTAATTGGCCCAAGGACGAACCCTATTGAAAATGGGGAAAATCGGTTCAGATTAAGGTATAGCTCCCATATATATTTTCGTCCGATTTAACGTAAATGGTGTACCAAAGTTCCTATATATCTTTCGATTTGCACGAAATTTGGCATAACGTACTGAATTGAGCTTAGTGTGATGTCTGCCGAGTTTCGTGAAAATCGGTCCAGATTTAGATATAGCTCCCATATATAGTTTCGTCCGATTTTATGCAAATGGTGTATCATGTACCTATATATTTTTCGATTTGCACGAAATTTGGCACAACGTATTGAATTGAGCCTAATGTGATGTGTGTTAAGTTTTGTGAAAATCGGTCCTGATTTAGATATAGCTCCCATATATAGTTTCGTCCGATTTTATGTAAAAGGTGCACCAAAGTCCTTATATATTTTTCGATTTGCACGAAATTTGGCATAACGTACTGAACAGAGCTTAATGTAATGTCTGCCAAGTTTCGTGAAAATGGGTCTAGATTTAGATATAGCTCCAATATATAGTTTCGTCCGATTTTATGCAAATGGTGCACCAAATTCCCTATATATATTTCGATTTGCACCAAATTTGGCATAACGTACTGAGTTGAGCCTAGAGTGATGTCTGCCAAGTTTCGTGAAAATCGGTCCTGATTTAGATATAGCTCCCATATATAGTTTTGTCCGACTTTATGTAAATGGTGCACCAAATTCCCTATATATATTTCGATTTGCACGAAATTTGGCATAACGTACTGAACTGAGCCTAGAGTGATGTCTGCCAAGTTTCGTGAAAATCGGTCCAGATTTACATATAGCTCCAATATATAGTTTCATCCGATTTTATGCAAATCGTGGACCAAAGTCCCTATATATCTTTCGATTTGTACGAAATTTGGCATAACGTACTGAGTTGAGCCTAGAGTGATGTCTGCCAAGTTTCGTGAAATTCGGTCCAGATTTAGATATAGCTCCCATACATAGTTTCGTCCGATTTTATGCAAATCGTGCACCAAAGTCCCTATATATCTTTCGATTTGCACGAAATTTGGCATAACGTACTGAACAGAGCTTAGTGTAATGTCTGCCAAGTTTCGTGAAAATCGGTCCAGATTTAGATATATCTCCCATATATAGTTTCGTCCGATTTTATGTAAATGGTGCGCCAAAGTCCTTATATATCTTTTGATTTACACAAAATTTTGCATAGAGTACTGAATTGAGTCTAGAATTACGAGTGCCAAGTTTCGAGAAAATCGGTTCTGATTTATATATAGCTCCCATATATATTTTTTCGACCCATATAAGATAAATGGGGCTCCAAATTACCTATATATCTTTCGATTTGCACGAAATTTAACATATGGTACTGAATTAGGTCTAGAATGATGCGTGCTAATTTTCTTGAAAATCGCTTAGGATTTAGATATAGCTTCAATATATATTTTCGACCGATTTAATTTAAATTTTGCACAAAAGATCCAAAGATTGGCCGATCGGCACACAATTTTGTACAATGTACTGTTACTATGACCTTTCGTGTGACAAGTTTTCTTGAAATTGGTTCAGATTTACATATAGCTTCTATATATACTTTCGTTTAAGTAAATGGTGCACTAAAGGCCCGTACCTAATCCGATTGACAAAACATACTGAAATTAATAAAAACCAGTGAGCGGAGCAGTATAGTCGGACGGGGTCGACCATATGAAACCCTACACAACTTGCACGAAAATATAACTTTCTGTAGCTCTATATTCTGAGTTTTGGCAATATTTCGCGATATTTGCACCCTCTTGACCAACCAGAAGTCAACAAATATAACTAATATTCAGTGCAGCCCTTCTAATTACCTATCCAGATTCCCTTCACCATGGGTTATGTTGTGATGCTCGGCTTTCAATTGTGACCTAAAGATCGATAAAAAACAAAAAAATTAAGTTTATGGACCACTTCATCCCAATATTATTATCTGATCATCACCGAAAATTGAAGGCGTTGTTCTTGACCATAACTGGGACCCTATGGTAAATTTTAAACCGATCAGCGCTATATTTCCGACTTCTAGTGTAGTAATGGGTTACTAAATAATATCTGAATACGTAAGAACCTGTATATATTTAAGTGTAACTCCCACATCCGAGTACATACGACAATATAATTGGTATCAATTAATAGGTCAAACACTCCTCTTGGATAGACTATCAACTTTTCGGGTCTATGTCCTTCAGGAGCAAATATATACGCTATAGAATACAAATTTTGTAATTTTCATACAAAAGTAAGGGTCCATTTGACCCGCTAAATATTGACCGATCTTTATCAAAACAGGCATGCTTATTCATTAGCTCTATCCCGTTCTCCATGCAAAAATTCGTGTTTGGGTCATAATTGCGGCCTCTGGAGCGACCAGAAAAGCCGACAAAAATTTAGTATTTGGTACATTTCATCCCCTAAATATTAACCGATCTTTTCCAAAAAGAATAGGGATCTTCATTGGCCAGAACCGATCGTACATGCAAAATTTCGTGAAGATTGGTCCATATCTGTGGCCTTTATCGTGTTTACAAATTATAATGGACAGACGGACGGACGGACACACAAGTCTAGATCGACTCAGCTAGTGGAGATATTGCGATCGGTATACTTAAAGGTGGGCCCAGGAACAATATTTCGCGGCGTTACAAACTTTTGGGGCTGCACAAAGCTATAATACCCTGACAACATAGTTGTGTAGGGTATAATTAATATCTAGCAAGTTTCCTTGAAATCGGTTCCGATTTAGATATAGAATAGCTTTCATATATAATTTCGACCTATTCATGTTGACTGTTCACCAAATAATCAATGGGTGCCTGATTGATACATTTTAAACGGTAATGCATACCAAATAGGGTGTGTAAAGTTTGGTTTAAATCTATTTAGAAAGTATGGAGTAGGTTGCCCAATGGCATGTGTTGGAATTGATGTTAGTCGGTTTACTTATAGATAAAGATCGCATATTTAAGTTCGTTCAATTTCATGCCAATGTTCCTTAGAAAAGGCGAATTCTGTTAGGATACATTTGTAGAATATCCCCAATGTGGTGAAGGGTGTTATATACTCGGCCCAGTCCGACTTTGCTACTTTCCTTACTGGTTTAAGAATGAATTTCTAACTGTACATCATTAATTCAGATTATATTATATTGTTGACTTTTTGAATACGGTATACAAAGATTAAGGTTCAAAAATGAAACATTTTCGAAGCAATCCACGTCAAAAATTGTGTTAATTGTTCTTAAGAAAATATCAAGGAGTTAAGTCCATTTTATACCCTAACATGATAGACTCATAGTAAATTTTAAGGATATACATAGAATAGCGTTTTCTGTCTGTTCCGTCTGCATCATGAAGAAACATTTCAATAAACTAGAAATATCGCTTTGAATATGACCACAAATATATATAACACAGAGGAAATTTTTCGATAGATTAACTCCATACACACACATAATTTCCTGTCAATTACGGAACTTGTTTGGTCATCAATAAGTCCACACTCAAAACAATATAACTGACCGCTTGCATGCCAAAAAGATAATTCAAAGGAAATTGGAATTTTTAAGACTCTTTTGGCCACTCATCATTGGCATCGTCGTCATCATCATCATCCACCACCTTCACATCCATAAATAATGGGTCAGAGCTCTATCAAATCCATACCTTTTATACTCGATGTATCTAGGAATGAGTGAGTGGGCACTGGTGTGTATGTGTGTTTAAAGAATCAATACAATACGAAGAAACAACATGTTGGGGATTAATGTTTACCATTAGCCAGTCTTGTGTAAATCAATGTGCGAGAGGCATTGGGAGCTTTGGTTGTGGTAGCGGTGCTGGTGCTTGATAATATGCATACAAATGCATTTCATTCAAATTACCCAACCAAATAGAATGGTTGTTTTTTTTCTGTTTCTTTTTCTGCATTTACTATTTCTTGCGCCATCGATTTGAGGAGTAAATGCGTTTCTATCGTCCGTTCAGAGCTTGTTTTATGCACATTAACATACTGGTGTTGCAAACTATCTTTCATGGGCTATGATTTACGACGATACTGCTTAGATATGAAATTTCCATTATGCTGAGCAAATAGCACATGGTCACTCACTCACTCACCCAGCCACCCACTCACTCGCACAATTCAGTGTTCAAGTGCTCGTCGATATGGTAGAGCAACGGACTAAAAAGGACTAACACTTTGCATAAAATTTGCATAATAATTGAGCGTCTGCTTAAAAATTGCAATCTACTGAAAATTTCAATGAGCGTTGTAGAAATGTAGCATGATGTTCTAGGAGCAATTGCTGAAATTGAAAAGCAACATCAAATGAAATATTATTTCATTTTCAATCAAATGGTAATAGCCAAAGTTTATTTTGGCTTCAAGGGCAGCCTAGTAGTAAAACTAAATTAAACACCGGGAGGGGAATGAAATTCATTTTAGATTTTAGACATATTTTATTACAAATTTGAATGATATTATATCTATGTTTTATATTTATACCCTATACCATTTTAATTCCGCTTTTAAGACCTCGACCCGAATCATTTAATGCATTTTACATATATTCCATCGCATCAATGTTACTGTAATTTGCGATTTTACAGTCTCAGAGGAAAAACAAGAAAATGTTTCATATTACTTATTGTTTTGATATATCCCATA